AAGCCGGCGCCCGCGCGGGGCCTCTGGCCGCACGGGAAGCCCCGGAGCAAGGGCCGGAGCTGCAAGCGGAGCTCGGGCCCCGGGCCGGACGAGCACCACTCCCTGCGGCCGGTCACCGTGGACAGCTCCAAGGCCAGGACCTCCCTGGACGCGCTCAAGATCAGCATCCGCCAGCTCCGGTGGAAGGAGGTGAGGCCGCCCCGCCGCGTGGGCNTCACACGCGCGCGCGCACACACACACACACACACACACACACACACACACACGCGCGCGCCGCCTCCAGGGGCTTCCAGGCCCGCGGGCCGGGTTAGCGCCCCTTGCTCTCCCCGCCCCCGCGCTCCGGCCTCCAGCCCTCAGCGCCCGCCCCGCGCTTTGCAGATATTTGTTGCTATGTCTGTCTCCTCGGCTGGCTTGGGAGCCCCGGAGGCCTGGGACCCTCCTTCTCTCGCTTCTTCATGCAAGTTCTATTTGTGTCGCACTTGCTGTGCTTTGGAGGCGGACAGACCTGGGGTCTCACGATGCCCGGCCACTTAGCCATGTGACCTTGAGCAAGTTGCTTCGCCTCTGAAGCCTATTTCCTCCTCTGTAAAGTGAGGCTAATAATACCCATCTCCTAGTTTTGCACGTATTAGATTACTGTAGCACAGCCCAAGTGCGCAGTGAACGCCACCCTCCCCTCTCTCTTCCCCCATCGCCATCATGATGATCACCACCACCACCATCGCCATTGTCATCATCAGCGTAGGCACCGTATCTTATGTTCCAGGGCTTGGCATATGACAGGTGTCAGTAAGTGGCAGGCGAAAGGGTGAAGGAAGGAATGGGTTATTTGTTCCTGAGCCTCTGTTAGACCCTGTGTGGCCTGGGATGAAGCACCGAGACATCCTGCGGTATCTGTTGCAGTTGGCTTAGTGGATAAAGCCATTTGACTTTATTTGCAGCTTCTAAGGCTATTTAACTTGCTTTCAGGTGCGTGAGGATTGTGATTTAGGGCAGTGGAGTCTGAACACGGAGGCCCAGATGGTCCGCTGATGGGACAGGATCTGCCGCAGGCAACTTGAGGACTCTGGGACCTAGTACTGGGCCTTGGCTGTGGTAGATGTCCAGGGACAGTTTTATGAAGCTGGAACATGCAGAGAGATGGCCACAGAAAGGATGGATGAGGTCAGAGGGTTGATGCCCCAGCAGGAAGGAGTCATGTGATTTGGAGGGAAGTCAAGCCTCAGGCAGGGCAGACTTCCAGGTAGGTAGGGGTTAGCCACTGGGGAAGTCTGACTTTGGGTGTCAGGGTCCTTAGCCTTGGGACTTGGGATTCAGGGGAGAAATTTCAAGCCTAGGACACCTGGAGAAAGTGAGGGAGGACTCCCGGTTCTGGACAGGGTCCCTGGTCCGGGCCAGAGATATGAGGACCAGAACAAGATAAAATTAGTGTCATAGTCCCAGTGAAGAGACAATCCAGGGACTGAAACCAGGCCACAGAGTCAGGCAAGCTGATTGGCCCAAGCAGGGCCTGTGCTTAGCTTCGCCGTGTGGGAGAGAGAGACATGAAGCCGCTACATCTCGAGAGATGGAGCAGATGGATTCAGAAGTAAGCAGGCATACATGCCAGCCCAGGTTCGCTCACTCACTCCGTAAGGGTTCACGGTGGATGCTGGGCCCTGCGGATCAAAGATGCTTAAGATGTAAGGTACTCTTGCCCTCAAGGACCTTACAGTTCAGTAAGGGATAAAACACCACTGCAGTCATGACAGGGCCTTTGCTGCTGCTTCCCGAAACACTCTTTTCCCAACTAGGTGTATGTCTGACTCTGTCACTTCAGGTCTCTGACCAAATGCCACTTCCCTGGACAGGTCTTCCCTGTTGATCCCTGTGTTCTTTTTTTTTTTTTCTCTCCCCCCCCCAGCATTAAACTCTACCTGACATTTGTATTATATATTGTTTGTTTATTGTCTGTTTCTCTCATTAGAATGTAAGCCCCATGAGGGCAGGGGCTTTGTTTTATGTAGCTCTGTACCTTCAGGTGCTCAATAAATCTTTGTTGAATGAATGAAGATATCATGTGATGAGTGTTTCTCTTTATGTAAAGTTCTATGTGTTGTCGGAGGTGGAGGAAGGCCAGCTCAGGGAGGGCTTCCTGGAGGAGAGAGATGGGAACTGAATTCTGAGAGCTGAAAAGGAGTAGGTGTTATTTAGGGGCTGTTGACTTGGATCCCTGGTAGAGGGAGTAATTTGGGCAAAGCAGAGGTGTATTCGGGGTTCAGTATGGCACAATGGCGAGAGATGAGGCTGGAGAAATGGCAGGGGTCAGATGGTGTGCCACGCCGTGGGATTTGGTCTTTTTGGAAGGCTGTGTGAGAATTTTACATTTCTTCCATTTATTGGCTGTGCTGTCTTGGCAAGTACATTAAACTTTTTAGGCCTCAGTTTAGCTATCAGTCAAATGGGGTGGGTTGAGCTAGTTCAGTGGTTCCCAGTCTCTCTACTGCTGCAGCCACATAATGGTGACGCTATTCTACATGACACCCTTGCACTGGTGAACCCAGTGTGGGGGGGACACTTTCCAGGGCACTTCCGGTAACAACTGCCCTCGCCACCCCAACTCTACCTTTCTCTCCCACTTAGAAAGCAAACTGGTGTTAAGTAGAGGTGCTCATTCTAAAATATTTTATACCATAATTCACTCACAACAGTAAGACTTTACTATTAGATGTATGATTATTTACTTAATGCCACTCTTCTATTAGTCAGTGAGGTCCTGAGGGCGGGGCAGGTGTCTGACTTGTGTCCCCAGTGCCCAGCACACTGAAAGTGTTGAATACTTACCGAGTGATTGAATGAAATACTTGCAACAGAGCCCACACCTCATCTTGACACCCTAGAATGTGGAGTTTGAAAAGTACCAGACTAGGTAAGCTTTAAAGTTCCTTCCAGCTTTAAACTCTGATTGTGGTGTTCCTAGTACCTGCTACAAAGTTGACTTCATGACAAGTAACCGATATGTAAACCAGGTCCTAACACAGTGCCAACACACGGGCTCTCTGGCTTCAGCGCCCCATCTGTTACAGGGCAATGTGGGACAAGATCATCTCTAACACTCAGCACTGACATTCTAGCAGCAGGAACGTGTACTGGGGGCTGCAGTGCAAGGAAACGAGCCAGTGTCCCTGCGTCATACTGTGCTACTGCTGCAGGATTGGAGGGTACCCAGCTGGCCGGTTTTGGCCCGGGGGGGTGGGCAGCTCAGGCAAGAAATAAGGTCATGAAGACCAACCAGGGTGGAAGTTCTGTGTCTCCTCTTTTGCGTGCATAGTGAGGGGCTACCCGACCCAGTCCCCTTAGCAGGGCACATTCTTCCTCCTTTTCTTCATCCCATGTACATTTAACAACAACAATAACAACCACCATAAAGAACCCTTACATAGCTCCTACCCTGCGTCAGACAGTCTTCTAAGCGTTTTACACACACACGATGTTTGATTCTCCCAACAGCCCAATACAGTAAGTGCCTGATTGTCTCCCTTTTATGGAGGAGAAAGTCGAAGTACACAGAGGTCAATTTATCCAAGGTCACACAGCTGGGAGGTAGCAGAGCCAGCATTTGAAACAGGTGTTTCATCTGAAGCCAGCTGTCAGTTCTGTCTCTCCTGCTCCCTACTGGCTCTTGCCTGCAGACCTGCCTTAGGGGTTGCAGATACAGAGGTGAACAGGGTCCACTCCTTGCCCTCCAGCAGCTCCCAGTGTCCAGGGACAGACACCCACAGACTCTTCCAGTCTAGTCTGGGAGTTGCGTGGGTAAAGAGTACTTTATACAGTGTAGGAACAAAGGCAAGGAGTAGGTATGAGGTTTTATATGTAGGATGGGGTGATGGCAGCTCAGGGAGCGCGTGGGAGAGTGGAGGGAGGGCGGAGGAGCGGGATCACAGAGGATGCGGAGAGGCCATGCCACGAAACTCACACTCCTGCCTGGAGGGCGTGATCACAGGCTCTTGCCACATGCAGCCCAGGCTTCCCTTGCCCACCCTCCGTCAGTCCCGAGTGAACCACGCCAACCGATGATTCAGTTTTCAGTCACATCCGCTCTGGTCAGGTCTAATTCAACTGTCTCCACAACCATAAAATTTATTTGAAAGAAAAAACCACAAATGTGAGCTCTGTAGACTTGGAGATGAGATGAAAGTTGATTCTAGAATAGGAAAATGGTGTTTACATGAAGTCACAACATGAAAGAGAGGGATGGGTCCTGGCCCATAGTAGATGCTCAATAAATATTTACGGAATTGTATGGTCCGCTTCCAGGCACGCGAGCCTCCTTCCTCCTCTCCCATATATTCCTTTGTAGTTTTGACACCCCCATTAAAGAAAACCTTAGGGGAGAGACGCCTTGGAGAATAGATGCCACTGTCGTCTGTGAGCTGCCCTCCCTGGAGATGTAGGCTGTGTATATGTGCACAGCGGTGCCATGGACACCAGCTAACATGGATGAGAGATTTGATAGAGGGACCTTTGTTGGTAAAAGTTTGCCCAAGCCCCTGTCCCAAGATCTATTACCGTGTGAGCTCTTTGTGTGGGAGACTCCAAACCCTGAGAACAGCGATCATGTTTCTGTTCCAGGTGGGCTGACACCTCTCCTGTACCGCATCAACTCAGGCCTCCCCTCCTCGCCTGCCATTTGTGTAAACAGTTGTTTCCCGGGGTGTGTTTGAACCGTTGTCTAGTAATTTTTATAAATGCCTCGCAAGTCCTTAGCAGCCGTTTCTGATGGCACCTTCTCTCCTCCCATCTGCTTCTGAGTCTGGCATCTGAGTAAACCCCTCTGATCCTTAATGAAGCCAGAAGGAAAGGGCAGTTTGCCCCCTGTGCCACCGTCCCCAGATGGAGTGCGGCTTCTGCAGGAATTCCTTCAGTCCCCGCCCAGGACTCTTACGAAGGCCAGGTTTCATATTTGCTCTTTATGCTGGTAGCGAGATTTTCTTTTTTGTGTGTGTGTCAGAACTATGGTTTATTGGAATTTTAAAAAACAACAGTGGAAAACTTTCTGGTCCTCTTAGGTTATTTACAAATAACTTTGTTCAATTTTCCAAAACAGTATGTGCTTATATAAACATATACAGTTCCCAAGTATATAAAATAAAACCCCAAATCCCTACCCCTCACTCTCTGTTCCTCTCCCTCCCTCCCTTCCAGTTTTC